TCAAACTACGGATACTTATGGAATCTTAAGTGGTGAGCCTGATATGAACTGGTCCTCGTCTTTTCTCAGCATTATACAATTTGAATGCATTTTTGTATCCTAAATATTCTACCAGGCATTCGAACTTGTTGAATATTTATCTTATCATTTACCCAACGTCAATTCGAACTTTCCAATTCATCTTCACTTCAAACTTAATTATTATGTTTCTTTCAACATCCCACACTATCATTGTATAATGTTATCCCGGTTTTCTTTGATCCAACTTCACTAAATCAAGTGTAATTGCAATAAATGTAGCTGCCTTTCCTTACGCTTGTAGAGATATTTTTTATCCCCTGGAGAATCTTGTCTGCACAATCTGGGGATGAATTTATCGAGAAATAATTTTTATTCAGTTTTTCCATAAGTTTTATTGTGCCGTGCTCGTTTATGGATGTTAATCTGCTAGAAATTATGTTTAGTATTTAGTAAACAATGCAGAAAAGAATGAATATATGTTATGTCTAGCTGCCGAACGATCTAAGCTACGTGTTTGGCTAATAAATCAAGGGCTGTTCCTTGAGCCACTAACAGCTCAATCCAAAGACATCAGTGCGAAGCTTGGTCTAGGGATCTTGTCACTATCAACACAAGACCTAAAATCGCAGAACAACCATACCTCCACGGATTTTTCACTCTGAGACACTGCAAGTAGGGACTTCCCCATGTTGTATTTGTATTTTGCAACACTTTACCAATGCATTGCTTCACGTTTTAAATTGTAGGAATTTGGTCTATTGATATCTGCCTACCTTTGACATTGAGTACTGTGTTTCGGGATTTTTGATTTGCCGAACCGGTTATATGAATCGCTTAAAATAGTAACATCGTCAGAAAAAAGTTAAGAGTCGGAAATACTTTTTGAGGAAGATCTTTCATCTAAATAAAAAACAAGAGTTCCTAGTACTGAATTCTAAGCGATAGTACTCGATTCATTCTCACCGTATCCAAGTTATGGAGACTTCAGTCATAATTTAAGGGACTAGAGGATACACTGAGTATTATCCACCTTATTACTTTCAGGCCTCTGATAAATAACCCGGCAGTTTATAAAAATCCACAGAAATTTCAATCACTACAGTTTTGTAATGAAATGTAAACTCTACATTATAATCGTAGCGATAAATCTCTTCATCTTTGTGTTACAAATAAGTAGCAAGTCAAACAACAGGGCTACCTGACTGATGTGTGACTTGTAGTGTAACGACCTTTTGGGTTTATTTCTCTAAACTTGTTCTAGGAGATTTTTGGCCTTATTGAAACTGAGAGAGATAGCGGAGAAAATTATTTCAACTGAGATTTTAAAGAAATGTTCAGGGATTGTGATACGCTGCAGCAATCGTAAGGTTAGTGCACTAATACAATTCATGGTTGGGACTAGATAAATGTGCTTTACTGTATGTTCAACAATGTCACAGATATTCAGGGTTTGACAATGCTTTTATCTGTTGCGCCGTTGTAATCGGAGAGTATTAAACGGGTCAGATCAGAAGTCTGTGGCGAATTAGTTAAAAGGTATATTTTTAAGGTTTTCAGTATGTTAAACAGTGTTCAATCCAAGCTGGCTGGTAGTTGACCTGGTGTGGTTAGGTGACCGAGGCCCTTCGGCAAGGGTGTGGCCAGTAAAAATAATGAAGCCAACATCAATGTCGAGGATCTACACAGCTTTTAATTCTAGGTATTGATCAGCCGCTACCGATTCAACCATCTCTGCACAACAGCATTGTCGTCTTTTTAAGTCTATTTAACAACAAAATAAGGAACTAAAATTTGGTAGTCAGATCTTTCAACCCATGAAGGTCTTAAGGCTGTCAAACAAAAATTTAGAATCAAGTCGTTGGTTAAATTTATGTAGTATTTATTAAATGATCAATAGGTAAAAGCTAAAACGACCGCTACAAACGACCTTACGGCGTTACTGTGATTAAGCCGTCGTATCATGTCGACAAAATATGATAGGGCGATTACCATATTCTCTCCGGACGGTCATCTTTTTCAAGTAGAATATGCACAAGAGGCAGTCAAGAAAGGTTCAACCGCAGTAAGTAGATTGTTTAAGTTTCCTATTCATTAGATTGGTGTTCGTGGGAAAAACTGTGTTGTTCTGTGTGTCGAAAAAAAGGCAACGACTAAGTTACAAAATGACAGGACTGTCAGGAAGATAGCTCTTTTGGATGATCACGTCGCAGTTGCTTTTGCAGGTAAACAATCCTATTTAGTAATTGCTTCTTAGGGCTCACTGCCGATGCTCGTATTTTAATCAGCCGGATCAGGGTAGAATGTAAAAGCTATAAACTTACTGTCGAAGATCCTGTGTCTCTGGAATATATTGCTAGGTATATGGCTCAGTTGAAGCAGAAGTACACTCAAAGTAACGGTCGTCGCCCTTTCGGTGTGTCAACATTAATTTGTGGATTTAATCAGGATGGTACTCCTCATCTTTACCAGACGGACCCTTCCGGAACTCACTTTGAATGGCTGGTAGGATATTATTAACTTGAGTTCACTTTAAGGCTAATGCTATTGGAAAAAACGCAAAAGTCGCACGTGAATTTTTAGAAAAAAACTATACCGAAGAAGCTGTCGCGGATGAATATGGAACTGTCAAACTTGCAGTTAAAGCACTGATGGAGGTAGTTCAGTCAGGCGCTAAATACATGGAGTTAGCTGTAATGAGATGGAAAGCACCATCCAAGCCTGGGGAACCATTTGTTGATTGGCAGGTATGTTAACAATATCTTAATTCTAAACAATCGATTTTTAAAAGCTATAATAGGAAATTTTGGGGAAGTGAGACAAAAACCCCAAACATTTTCCAGACTGTGGGGAAAATTACTACTTTTCATATGACTTCGGCAACAAAACCCATGATTTTTCTAAAGTCGGGGGATTGAGAAAGATGTTTTCAACCTAGTTTTTTTTCGGCGCTAATTTTCCTAATCTAGCACAGAAATACTACATTAAACTAACTTATCATGGGTTAGGGGTCGATACTTCCCAAGTGTTTTGGGATATCACCGTAAAAATGTTGGTAAGAATAGCATCACAAGCGCTTCGGCGTATCTAATATCGAGCCTGTGTTAAATATCTTGCTGTCGGTTCATCCCATGTTCTTAGGAAACATTTTTTTATGAAATTGCAGTGCATAGGTTAGCTTTCGTTTCCGTCGTGGTGTCAACTTCGACTTATGAGTACCATATCAACTAATAAATCAAGTACTAAAACCTTAAGACATTTCATCCATGTTTACTCTTGTCATATGCTCTATGTTCTTAAAAACAATGATAATAGATATTCATAAATATCAATCCCATTCATAATTCTATAAAAGAAAACTTGTTACATGAAGGAAGTTGAAAAGAACCGTAAGCTTATTAAAAAGTCATATTTTTTTTCAATTGAAATGGGTTCTTATTTGTATATGAATAATTGTCATAGAGAAGTCAAACCAAAACTTGTCATTGGTTCATGACATTAATTGTTGGTCTGAGGTATGTTAGCAGACAGTATCTGGTAGTCGCCTTCAGTGATAGGGGACAGTGGGTGACGGTTCAAAATCGGATACTGGCTGAAATGCATCTATTCTTTACCTTCCTTAATATAATGAGTTCAAGCGTTCCTTTACTCATACCTTCTTACTATATTCTCACTATATAGTCTTTCCCATTATCATTGTTAGTACACTATTTCTACTCCCTTACTAATCTTGTTAATATCAACTCATCGCATTGTAGTATGCCAACACATTTGTTCTAGGCTCTAGTTTGTTCATTACTGACTGACTAATCATTTAACTGACTTTTACCATCCGTTATTTTGGTTAATGAAATTAATCTTGATAACTGTAGAAAAAGTTTTACTTTATATATTTTCTATAGTTTTCGTAGTCATTTGTCGTCTAGTTTTAAATCGCAAACAAATTCAAGAAACTAGACGGGTTCAGCAAAAGTTGAAATTTCCACTGAACTACCTCCGGACGTCATATAAGGAAAGGCGGTATGTCTGAAAGCATTGGCTGCGTAACTTTTGGGCACAAATTCTTGAGATAAATGGGTATATAGCTTTACATGGCTATCGGATGAAGTGATGTGTCAAATGTTTTATACTTGTTAGACTATGGCAGCGAAGTCACAAGTAGGGCTTAAACGTTCGAAGATTTAATACCAGATAAGATAGTATTCAATATATTTTCTGAATTATCCCGAAACGTGTTGATTTCATAATTAGCATCCAACTATCTGTCAAAATTATTTTGGAAGTTTAATGTAGTATGATTGATAATCAGTGACCGTTCTTATTACTGATTAGCCTATTCGTAATGGTGGGTGTATTTTTAGTCTTCCATTTTGATCCTTTCACTGTTCTCGTTTCTACCACTATAATCGTTCGTATTATCTTTATCCTTTTCATCTACTACCAATCTCCACTTCAAAGTTTGACGGCCTAATTCACTACTTTTGCATCAGGTCCCATGTTTTTTTATATATTAATCGTAGGTTATAGGTATTTCTCAATCTCTAGACTAATCTATTTATCATCGGACTACTTATCTTATCCTGCGACTTGTTGATTTTATCCATTTCTAAATAATTGATCTGTGAGATTCTTTTACAGTAATGTTATTATGCTTCAGATCAGGCCATTTATACGGTTTATACTGTCTTGTCCATAATAGTCTCTTTGGTCACTGTTAATTTGATTGGTCAACAAATGTTTGGCATTTGGGAAGATCAAATTGTTGTTTTCGTAGCCTAATGTGGTCTCAAAATGCAGTGGTTTTTGTTGGATTTTGTTCGTTAGTAAACAGACATAGTTTGTTTGCAGAAATTTATAATAATCTTTATTCTGAAGGATTACTTATCAGTCCAACTAAACATCTTTGCTATCTTATCTGTAATTGTATAGTAAACCTAATGTGTTTAAACAGCTTTATACAGACAGCTGACTAAACAAGTGAACTGTTCATAATGAGTTATCTTGTAAATTGCAAAACATCCACATCAATTTTTTCTTTCGTCGACAATGTACAGGTTGTTTATTTATTGTTCTTTATTATGCAATTGAACGAATGTAGATTGCGATAACATATGCACATCAAGTTGTGACACATGCTTTTTTCATCTTTTAGATGCTCGAGTTCGCTGATATCCAAAAGTATGTTCAGGCTATCGAAAAGGAGAGAGAAGAGGAAGCTGAAAAGAAGCGTCAGAAAAAGGAAGCAGCTGCAGCATTGTAACATAACTGGTGTACAATTCCGGTTCTCATGTTTTATACATATATAACTAAATTTGTTTGATTTTGTTATAAAATATGGAATGAAGTTGAATATTTGGGGGGGGATATCAAATATTTAATAGTCATCCGTTTCGTCGCTTACGTTTCCATCAATTGCATTACCCTCATATGTAGTCGTGTCTAGGGCGTCGTCTTCATTCTTGATCTTATCTGAAGTGTGCTTATCATATTCAATTGAGGCTAAGTTTAGCGTCTTGTAAATTTTATCCAAAATTTCTTGATCCAAATATCGGGAAATAACATTATCTCCAATTCGCTCTTTCATTTCATTGAGACATGTCAATGCCTGCAAACAAATAAAACTTTCAAATTACCATGTATACTTCATATCAATCAAAAATCTTACGTAAGAGTTTTTTTCCACAATTTATTAATAAGTTCAAGTCTAAATATCAAGGATGAACAAATAAGAGCATGTAAACGATGCAATGTATTTATGAAACACCTATATATTCCATACAGTCGCTATTACTACTTTTACAAAATTATGGTTTGTTACCAACGTCATTTTTGACTTCATAATACGTTGCAACTTTGCCAAATAACGAAACTTGTGCTAGGTCTTATAAATTATTTTACAATTAGTTGATGCTATCCGGAATTCGAGTAACCAACATATATTCTCGACGAAATCTTTTCCATTATACAGAAAGTGTATGTAATGAGACTGTTCCTGCATGTTACTAGTTCTAACTCACAGAGTGAATGTTAGCAAGTGGGTTAATCGAGAGGAAAAGATCCTGAAATTATTCTGGTGTTTACTAAGTTGAGTCGAATGAGGCTAGATCCCTTTGTTGTTTTCTTCAGCTTTTGGATTTCGAATCGGTAGTTCTGACGGTAAATGTGTATTTAAGATAAATAAGCTCCTCTACCTTATCTGAGTCAATTAATATTCGTTCCAAGGGTATCTAAAAATGTTCAACTAGACATTTTACGATGTAAGAATCCTAATTGTTTGATAGAAGACAATATCGATAATCCTATACCAGCACAGGCTTATCAAAAGATGTGACGTCATACCTAGTGGCTACTGATGTAGATAGATAAATTATTTTTGTATACGTTGTTTCTCTGAGCTTTAGTCAAAAATTGATATAAGCGAGTATACTTAAACCTTATTGGTAGTAGTACTCATACAACTGAATAAACTATATTCAATGCTTAAATACTATCCTCAGAGCCCCAAAAGGTAATTGTGTTACTAAATGTTCTTGAGGTTTAAACTAAGAGAACCGAAGGCCCGGGATTTCCATGTTGGTAAGTGCTTTTAGTTAAGGGCGTTCACTTTTCCTCTTCCATTTCTGTGAAAATTACAAATCATGAACAAACAATAAGATCTACTTGGGAGAAGGTAAAATGCTAATCAGATTCCAGATGTGACAGTGTTAGCTCTCGAACTCATTGATTAACAATGATTTCAGAGATCCAATTCGTGTTACGATCATGGCATGGCCCTGCTTCGTAGAAAACTTACTCTTAATTGGAAATATTCACGATATATTATTTTAATAATAATAACCAATCATAGTATAAAAATCCTTGTTAGTCAATGAGTTTGAGTGCTAATACTCAGATTTGTTTTCTGACTACCGTTTCATCTATCAAGTGAATCTTATTGTTCGTTCATGAGTCGCATTTAAGAAAAGGCGAGTTTTCAATATTAAATTGAATCCGTTTTTAGGAAAATTTTCATAAGCAAAAATATCGATTGTAATAGGAGAGTGCATATTATTATTTGAGTGTCTCACTTAGATATTATTCGTAATTATCGCTGTATTTGATAAAATTACTCTTAAAGAATCAAATTCTAATCATAGTGTGGGGATTATTAAACTCAATCAGAATATTGGATTATGATGAAATATTGGATATAATACACAAATCAATCAAAAATGCCTTGATTCACACTGTCTAGGTTAGATGACGTATATTATGATATAACATTTGAGCACTAAATATGTCAATAAACTTAGAAATCATTTTAGTGTTATACAGTGGTATTTTTTTTATCAGGGAAACAATTCATATTGATAGTGTTGATTTCCTTTAAAATTCATCAGTAATAGGATTGACTTACAGCTTTATATTTCTCTTCCATTACTAATTCACGTATTATTAAAGAATAAATATCTCCAGGTCTCAATATATCATCCTGTTCAATATTTTCTAAAAGTGTATAACATCTTTGCATTGCATCTATCGGGTTAGTGGAAAACAACCTATTCATTTAAACGAAAAGCGCAAATATTATTTTATTAGTAAATGAGGATGAGTTACTCATATTTCATTCGCTTAAAAATAAGAGTACACAATTGTACTGATAAACGTTTATATTGTGATCAAAGATGACTACTTTTATTCCATGGACAAATCAAGTTGTTTCGCCTTACTGAAAATACTTTTAAAAAATTTGTAATTTTTGTAAATAGCATTGATTTCTTTTTAATTCATTGTGCGGCTAATTCGATTTCCAAATATAAAACGTTCAGTTATGCTCATCGAGTTCTGTATGTCTTAAATTGGACTATACTGGAAATCCTTAATTAGCACATTATTTCAACTACTAATAATCATAAAATTGTATATCTGTTTCTGATAAATTAATAAAGAAATTAATTGATTGTCTCGTTATGCCGAGAATCAACTACATTTGAATATGTGAACCATTAGATTCCGACCAAGCGGGCCAAAAGTCATTTTCTTAGTACAAAACTTAAGGTTCCTGGGTTCAATTCCGCGTGAAGTCATAGAGAGTCGCGAACTAAGAAGAAACGGCTGTTCCTGATTTCTTTTGTTTTTCTTTGAGAAAATGGCGTACTGCACTGTGCGAAAACAATCACTAGTAAGGAAAATGGTTAACTGAATGAACAAACTAATGAACCTTTCAATACAAAACGTCAAAATCAATAATTCAGGTTTATTATATTATTCTGGATCAGCACACGAATACATTACGACCATTTATTTGAGTTTAAATTGGATTTCTGGCAAACCATAAACTAAAAATATACACTGAAATTGGTCTGGGGATAGAGTTATGAATGTATTAAAGGAAAATTTTCCGTTTCCGAAAATAATGCTGTCCGATAGAATCTCTTCAAGGATTTAACTGCTTTTAGATTTACATTTTAATGTTAAACTCTGAAGCATCTGAACGCACTGGTGATTTTACAATCCTATTGATCGAAATTACATTCAAGTAACATCAGTCTACTTACATTACAACTCAGTTTGAGTTAAATAATGGTCTCGATTTTATGATTGGTAAAATAATGGATAGGGTGCTGGTAGACAAAACTCTAAAATGAGGCAATATGGGCCATTGGCGGTTCCTTATTAAATAGAATTGACATACTTTCTATACATATGGATCATTAGCTGAAAGACAAAAGATTGAATGATGCAATATGCAATTACAGTAGTACTATACTTATTTATCTTGTCAATCACTTTCCTATAGAGCAGAGGTGTACGTGGATAAGAAGTATAGTAGCATGTAGTTTATCAATCACTAAACATTCAGTAAGTTTATGACTATAGAATAGTCCAACTCCCATTCGATGTAATAAAACATTAACACCACGATGAAGTTTAATAACTGGTGATGAAAATCAACCTACTTCTGAATTTCTATAAACTCTTTGCATAATATTGTCTTCTCTTTTATTTCATTTAGACGTTTCTTAAGATCACATTCATTTGTTTGATTATTATCATCATTTGTAGTTGAACTTGATAATTTAACTAAAACTTTATATGCTTCAGTTAATGCATCTAATGCTTTTTCATAATTGCCAGATTCTTCAATTTCACTCTGTTGATAGTAAGTATAAACAAAACGATATACAATTATGTTTAATGTACTAATGATTTTAAGTGATATCAATACAAATTTAACCACAATTCCATAACTTTATTATGAAAATTAACGTTTACTAAAGTGGATAACTTATTCATAAATTTTCAAAAATTAGTCAGTTAGTCAATTAAACGCGGCATAGAACCTGGCACACGAGTATGTCCGTTCAAGTTACCGCGAGATGAAATTGTTAGGGCGAATCCAGGAGTAGTAGAGTTAGTAACAGCTTTAATGGTAAACATTATCATGAGTTCTTCTAGTTTTGGCTAGCAGTCACACAAATACCCAGACATGTGAACTTTTCAGATGTTTCTAACGGTTAACCACAAAGAGTGAGTACATGTGCACGTTCCTGTCAGACTTGAAAACTTGATATTTCGAAAGTGCAAAGTATATGCTGTTCTTGCTGAAAGTGACTGTCAACGGACTTAGTGAATTTTGGTTAGTTTGTGTATTATCAAACACTAAAACCATATCATCAATATACTTAAGGTCAAAAAGTTGTACTCCGCCACTTAATACGAAGCTGTTTCCAGAATGTCATCAATGGGAAATTTGAAGAAAAATTCAGTTTAATTCCACTGCTGGGTTGAAACAATAGAGAGAAATAGTTATGTGTCTTCGATCTACTATATCATGTGACCAAGTATAAAATGATAGTGTATTTCAATGAATATTACACGTTTGAAAAAAGTACGCTCATATAAATTGGATAAGATTGTATTCAATCATAATATTCGAATGAACTATCAATTACAACAAAACAAAGTTATGAACTGAATTGACGAACTCAAGTTCTATAAACTTTATTTACTTGGCACACATTTCTCTGTGTCTACTATTTCATATAGTAGACTATAAATATTATAATTTTTGAGGATAAATACACAACCTACACTAATTTACAACCAAATTCACAATAGTACAATTGCACAGACACTGTTAACAATTTTTTCTTGAGCTATTAGTACAAACAGAATTTTTCAAGTTGTATTTTCATATAACAGAATTGTTTGACATCTAAGAATTTATAAATTTCTACATCAAATGTTTCAGAAAGTGTGAATGTATATCATAATTTGTAAACAGATATCATTATTTATGTTGACAGCATACAATCTTTCTGTAATATGGAACATGTAGATACATTGCAGAAAAACTTTCAACATCGAATTCACCTTTTAATTAGTCAATATTAATAATCTAATACAATGATACGAATCTATAGTGAACAAGAATACAATTGTGGACAATCGAATGTATTTGAACGCAAACATCTTAATAAAATCTGAGAACCAAACAATAAATCTTTAATTTACAAAATACCAACCAATTGTTTTAAATTTGACTGTTCCTTTTGTAAATATCAATCCATTGCCTTGGATTTCATTATTCCTACATTTTCATACCAATTACTTCTTATTTCCTTTCTTTCCTTTTCTATCTATTGAAATACATTCTATTTCTGACTATCGTTATATGCTACTTATGTGGATATAGGTAGCTCACACCACAAATCTAGAAATCAGGAACTGGTTCACAATCATATATATATTGTGAAAATTTGAACAACACATATTAGATCATCATAAGGCTTTACTCTAATATACAGTAATATTTATGCGAAAATGTTAAACCAATCAAGGCAATTTGGGTCAGTAATTACAATGAAATAGGATAAGTCATCACACATAATAGATGAAACTACAAGTTGATAGTAGGAACGCATGTGTACTGATAGTAGGTAAGAATAATAAAATACGATAATAAAAGTCTTATCAATAGTTAAACATTGGAAGTAGTAGGTCAAACATGTGTAAATGGAATAGTCATCACAAAACACTATAATCATGTAATAAGTATGTAAATAATTAGAAGAATACAAACGGAAAGAGGCGGATAATTCCAAACAAATAATGCATGAGTAAATAAGGTTAATGATGGAATAATAATAATAATAATATTAATAATAATAATAATAAAGAAAACATAAACAAATAAAAATTAACCTTTAGTTAAGTTATAACTGGCCATGGAAGGGATAGGGGTGTTACAAATTTCTTCCGTACACATAAATTTGGGTTATATGTACGAATTCCTATGGCTTCAGCTATATGTAGGAGGCGCGAACGAACTCCATTGGGAAATGATGGAGGTATACGATAGATCACTCGAAATGATTTAGATTTATCAACAGCATGACCACTATCAATAAGACGTGCCAGGATTGAACTGCGTACTGTTTTTATCTGGCCGTTTACAAACCAAGTTGGTAGAAGTTCACTCATTCGTTGGTTAAGTTGCCTGGTTGTACGACCGATATAGCTATCTCCACAGGAGCAGCTGAATTTGTAGATGCACATTGAGTAGCCCAACTCAAGTAACTTATCCTTCATTTGAGCAGACATAACTGGTCGACAAGAGAAAGTCGACGCAAGAATGGCTGCGTAAAATGTTCTGCTGATTACTTTCGTTAACCTATATTTCAGAGTATCACTAGCCACATCCTCGTTGAATTGTAGTTTCATGTATAAAGGTTTCTTACGAACAGTCGAAATCTCCGAATTCTTTATTGTCATACATGTACTTTTTAATGAAAGCACTGGGGTAGCCGATCTCGGTCAGTGAGTTGTTAATAAACTCAAGCTCCTGTACGGATCTTTTTTGGTCTGCTTGTGAGACATCTAACCAAATTTCTCTTGTAGCGGATAGGTGTGAAACTGCAGAAGTGGATATATTGGCAGATAGAGGGGCTTTTTCTATACACGCTTCTACTTAATGTGCCATCACATCGTCTACTTAGTGTGACGTCAAAGAAGTTCAGCTTTTTGTCATGCTCGCTTTCACCAATGAAACTGATCGCTGGGTGAACACTGTTAAATTGTTCTAGGAGTTTCTCCTTACTGGTGTTTTGATCTGTGATAATGAAAGTGTCGTCAATGTAGCGGCAATATAAATCAAGCTTCTTAATAGTCTCATTAAGAGGTCCATTTTCTAGCATTGCTAGAAAGAGATCAGCTAAAACCGGGCCTAGAGGTGAGCCCATGGCTATCCCGTCTATTTGTCTATAATAAGTATTGTTGATGACAAAATGGACATTCAGCGTGCATCTTAGGAGCAGTTCCTTTAGACTATCTTCAGGCAAGCCAATGTTGATTTGTTTTTCTGATATTTGCTTGCATATAAACTCGATGGTCTCCATAAGCGGTACGTTGGTGAACAAAGATACTACATCAAGTGAGATCATATTTTTCATGTTAACATTCATATTTTCCATTTTGGAGGAGTAAAGCCTGACGATAAATACACCATAAGGAGAACTAGTGGGAATGCGATAAATAACTTTAAATGACTTTTTTCTGTCCACTAGATGATCGCTATCGATCAAGTGTGATAGAACCGAGCTGCGTACTGTCTTGACGTTACCTTTTCCTAACCACGAAGGGAGGTGTGTCACTAACTCTTTGGTTCAGTTGCCTGGTAGTGCTTCCAACATTGCTTTCTCCACAGGAGCAGCTGAATTCATAGATACACATAGAAGTGGCATAAAAAGGTGTCTATATTTTTCTAATCATTGACCTATTTCCTATTATGTAACATTGATTTGAGCCTTGATTATTTTTGTCAAAATCTAGTACACCTGTCATCACACTATCAATTTGTAGTTTTCATTTACTATGTAATCGTTTTCATTGTTATCATTGAGTCATAAACTACCTTGATTGGTTTAATAATTTCATATATGCATAAAAATACTACTGTATATTAGAGTAAAGCCTGATGAGGATCTAATCGAAAACAATATTGTTCGCTTATATATGTTGTTCTAAATGTACAATATGGGAATATTATTGAATAATCTAACTTATCATTATTATTACACAGTTGATATCAACCGAAAATAGGAAATAATTATTAAAATAATAAATAAAACAAGTAAATAAAATAATATAAACTTACATGAGCACATATTTCATAAAATGTAATTAATGATTTCAATGCTTGTCCACGTATATAAAATTGTATAATAGAACGTATAATATATAAATTTGTATGCCAATTATTTATTGTTTGTAAATAATTTGCTGTTATAATATAAACTTCTTTCTGTTTACTAATATTAGTAAAATAGATAATTTTATCTATATCACCTGATTTGATTAATGATTTAATAGCTAATATATAATTACCAGCTTGTGTAAATTTTTTACATGCTAAATAATAATATTCATTTATTAAACATAATTCACCTAATTTTATTAATATATTAGATATATTTTGATTAGATATATTATTTGTTATTGGTGTAAGTTTTTCAATTAAAGCTTCTGTAATTGGTACAAAATAGTCATTACATAATTGAATTGCTTCCAAATACTGTAAAGTAATAGATTTGAAATATATATATATATATATATATATATATAATATTGTAAATAGAAATAATTTATTAAATAATAAACATATAAAATACATAATGTATGGTTATAATAGAAATAAAAGAAAGTTATACCATTTCTGATGGAGTTTTATTTTTGTTCTTTGAACTGGATGGTTTGGTTATGGAGCTTTCATATTATCAACAGAAGTGAAATTGTCGGGGCGAATTCTCCCTATATCTGACTCCAATAAATGATATCTCGTTAACTGAGTATTTAACGCTGACTAAATCTCTTAGTAAAGTTATGGATTTACTCGAGATTATTCAGAAGACTGAACACCAGTTGTAGAGATATTTTATTGTTAAAAAATTAATAAAATTCACAAGCGTACAGCGAGTAAACACACAGCGAAACAAAGAGTGTGTGTGTTAAAAAACTATATATATATATATATATATATATATATATATATATATATATATATATATATATATATATATATGAGTGTTAATCAAGTGTGGATAAATTATTGATTATCTGTGTGTTACAACCAATCGGAGAATAGATTAAGGATTGATGTGCAGACACGCGCTCAATCATACTCATACAGAAATTAACATAGTGGAGTAAGCGTCTAAATTACAGTGAGTAGACAAATAATACAATAGTTGAATGGGCTTACTACAAAATATTTGAGATAAATCAAGAAAATAATGTATATAAACAAAGGAATAAAAATTAAATTAATGATAGATACGGCAAGATTCTGAAGCGTTTGAAGAATTTCAAGGTTACAGTGACACCTTCAGTTATTTACTTTACTTTCTTACGCCTGTTACTCCTCGTGAATGAGCATATGCTGCTCACCAGAATTCTCCATCCAACCCTGTCCTGGGTAATCCTTTCCAGCTCTTTCCAGTTCTTATTCATCCCTTTCATATCCGCTTCTATTTCCCGACGTAATGTGTTCTTCGGCCTTCCTCTTTTCCGCTTCCCTTCAGGATTCCAAGTTAGCGCTTGTCTTGTGATGCAGTTTGATGATTTCCTCAATGTATGTCCTATCCATTTCTATCGTCTTTTCCTAATTTCCTCTTCAGTTGGAAGCTGGTTTGTCCTCTCCCACAAAAGGCTGTTGCTGATGGTATCCAGCCAATGGATGTTGAGTATCTTGCTTAGACAGCTATTGATAAATATTTGTACCTTCTTGATGGTGGTTGTTGTAGTTCTCCAAGTTTCAGCTCCGTACAGTAGAACTGCCTTGACATTCGTATTGAAGATTCTGACTTTGATATTGGTTGAAAGTTGTTTTGAGTCCCATATGTTCTTCAATTGAAGGAATGCGGCCCTTGCTTTGCCAATCCTCGCATTTACTTCTGCATCTGAACCTCCTTGTTCATCGATGATGCTTCGCAGGTACGTGAGGGATTCCACCTCTGCCAGAGTTTCGCCATCAAGTGTGATTGGATTACTATTCTCTGTGTTGTATTTGAGGACCTTGGTTTTTCCCTTCTGCATGTTGAGGCCTACTGATGCAGAGACTGCTGCTATGCTGGCTGTCTTTGTCTGCATTTGTTCGTGTGTATTGGATAGGAGGGCTAGGTCATCTGCGAAGTCTATATCGTCTAATTGATTCTGAGCTGTCCATTGTATGCCATGTTTTCCCTCAGATGTCGAAGTCTTCATAATCCAGTCGACCACCAGAAGAAAGAGGAAGTGAGAGAGTATACAGCCTTGTCTGTACATGACCGATCCTTATGGAATCCAGCTTGTTGATCTCGAAGTTGGACATATACTGCATCTTTCATCCGGCTCAGCAACACTCTGTTAAAGACTTTCCCTGGTACCGACAGTAGTATAATGCCTCTGTTGTTTTCACACTTGCTCAGATCTCCGCCTAGAGTTCCCCAGGGGGCTACTGCCGGTCCCAAGCACGGATAAAGGAGGAGGGTTGGGCATGGGGTTAGCGACCACATCCCGTAGAAAACCAACTCGTTAAAAAAACGCTAACCAGAAAAAAATTGTTCAAACCATTTAAACTCTGCCCCGGGAGTCAGAAGGTTTTCGTTTAGAAGAGTTATGACGCCTCATGATGAAAGTCGAGTTCCTTCGAAAGTCACGAGGCCGATGCCCCTTCTAACAACCAGAGCAACCATCTATTTAGGTACATGGAATGCTCGTACAATACGGGAGACTGCAAGAGTCTTCCAAATTGCTGCAGAAATGAGGAAATACAATCTAGAGGTGCTTGAGATCAGTGAAATGCATTGGACAAAAGTTGGACAACAACGATTAGCTTCAGGGGAGCTGTTGTTATACTCTGGACATGAAGAAGAAAATGCCCCACATACACAAGGCGTTGCGTTGATGCTGTCCAAACAATCACAAAATGCACTTATAAGATGGGAATCTCACGTACCAAGGATCATCAAAGCCTCCTTCAAAACAAAGAAAGAGGGCATTTCAATGAACGTCATCCAATGCTATGCGCCTACCAACGACTACAAAGAAGACGCTAAAGATCAATTCTACAATAGGCAAAGTCAATCGTCTAGGAGTGCTCAAAAAAGGACATGACCATTCTGATGGTTGACCTAAAGCCAAGGTTGGAATGGACAACACCAGATATGAAGACATCATGGGATGACACGAACTAGGAGAAAGGAACAAAAATGGTGAAAGATTTGCAAATCTATGTGCCTTCAATAAACTGGTCATAAGCGGCACTATATTCCCACCTAAACGCATCCACAGAACCACATGGACTTCACCGGATCACAGCACACAGAACCAAATCGACCATATCTGTATCAACAAAAAGTTCAGGAGGACGATGGAGGACGTGAGAACCAAGAGGGGAGCTGATATAGCATCAGATCATCACTTGCTGGTCGCCAAGATGAAATTGAAACTCAAAAAGCTCTGGATAACGGGGCGGAAAATATCACAATAGATTAATACGGCTCTTCTTCGGGATACTGACCAACTCAACAAATTCAAGATGACCCTCAGCAATAAGTTCCAGGCCTTTCGTGATCTACTCAATGGAGAAGGAACTACTATGGAGAGCAACTGGAAAGAGATAAAAGAGGCAATCACTTCAACATACCATGAGGTTCTGGGCCAAAAGAAGCACCATCACAAGGATTGGATCACGCTCGATACACTGGATAAGATTCAAGAAAGGAGGAACAAGAAGACAGCAATCAATACCAGCCGAACAAGAGCAGAAAAAGCCAAGGCACAAGCTGAATACACAGAAGTAAACAAGCAAGTGAAGAGGAGCATCAGAACTGACAAACGTTATTATGCGAAAGATTTAAAAATGACGGTAGAAATGGCTGCAAGAGAAGGAAAAATGAGACAACTGTATGACACAACAAAGAAACTCTCTGGAAATCACCGTAAACCAGGACGACCAGTGAAAAGCAAGGGAGGCAAGGTAATCACCAACATTGAAGAACAACGAAACAGGTGGGTAGAACACTTCAAAGAACTGTTGAATCGACCAACCCCACTGAACCCACCCAACATCGGAGCAGCACTCAGGGACTCCCAATCGATGCTGGCCCACCAACAATTGGAGAGATCAGCATGGCTATCAGACAAATCAAGTGTGGCAAAGCAACAGGACCAGACAGCATTCTAGCAGAGGCACTGAAAGCAGACGTAGCGGTAACTGCAAGGATACTCCACATATTCTTCAATAGGGTTTAAAGATGAGGAACAAGCATCAACAGACTGGAAAGAAGAACTTCTGGTCAAAATACCAAAGAAAAGCGATCTCAGCAACTGTGACAACTACAGCGGAATCACTCTTCTCTCAATACCAGGAAAAGTCTTCAACAAGGTATTGTTAAACAGGATGAAGGACTGCGTAAACGCCCAACCTCGAGATCAGCAGGCAGGATTCCGTAAGAATCGATCGTGTACAGACCAAATCGCAACTCTACGGATCATTGTGGAACAATCAATTGAATGGAATTCATCGCTCTACATCAACTTCATTGACTATGAAAAAGCATTTCACAGCGTGGACAGGAAAACCCTATGGAAGCTTCTTCGACACCACGTCGTGCCTCACAAGATAGTCAATATCATACGGAATTCCTACGATGGATTAAACTGCAAAATCGTTTATTGAAAACAGCTGACAAATTCGTTCGAAGTAAAGACCGGTGTCAGGCAAGGTTGCTTACTCTCACCCTTTCTCTTTCTCCTGGTGATCGACTGGATCATGAAGACATCAAAATCTGAAGGGAAGCACGGGATACAGTGGACATCTAGGATGCAGTTGGACGATCTGGACTTCGCAGATGATCTGGCTCTTCTATCACAAACGCAACAACAAATGCAGGAAAAGACGACCTGTGTAGCTGCAGCCTCAGCAGCAATAGGTCTCAATATACACAAAGGGAAAAGCAAGATTCTCCGATACAACACAGCATGCAACAATCCAATCGCACTTGACGGAGAAGATTTGGAAGATGTAAAAACCTTTGCATATTTGGGCAGCATCATCGATGAACACGGTGGATCTGATACAGATGTGAATGCGCGGATCGGCAAAGCAAGAGCAGCATATTTACAACTGAAGAACATCTGGAACTCAAAACAATTGGCGACCAACACCAAGGTCAGAATTTTCAATACAAATGTGAAGACAGTTCTACTGTATGGGGCGGAAACCTGGTGAACTACGAAAGCCATCATCCAGAAGATACAGGTGTTTATTAACAGTTGTCTACGCAAAATACTTCGGATCCGTTGGCCGGACACTATTAGCAACAACCTACTGTGGGAGAGAACAAATCAGATCCCAGTGAAGGAATAAATCAGGAAGAAGCGCTGGAAGTGGATAGGACACACATTGAGGAAAGCACCGAACTGCGTCACAAGACAAACCCTTACATCGAAACCTCAAGGCCTAAGGAGAAGAGGAAGACCAAAGAACACATTACGCCGAGAAATGGAGATAGACATGAGAAAAATGAGCAA